AAACAAAAGTCCTACTTTCTCTTAAAAAAAACCTAAACAACTTTGTTATACTACAATTGACATAATGATGATGAAAGATGTAAAATGTGATGAGTTAAATATATGTCATCTATATATCCTGATCTCTTGAAAGTTATATCTACTTCAGTGGTTCCAAATGCTAATTATAAAAATGAAGACAATGAATATCTCCACTGTCCTCAAATGTCTTTTCCTGTTTTATTTCTTCTTTTATTGAGTTTATTTTGAGGGATGTACATTTTATTGGAAACTTTTAGTACTCATTAGGCAACACAGCATCATTTTTATTATGAACTGAGCGACGTCTGTAGAGAAAATTAGTTTTCCATTAAACAATTCATAGGGAGCTCTGGTGGCCTAGTGGCAAGAAGCTGCACTGCAATCCTGAAGGCACGCCGTTTGAGGCCACCAGCTGCTCCGTGGGAGAAGGATGGACAATCTCCTCCTGTGTGTTTAACTGTCTCTGAAAACCCACTGGAGGGTCAGCTATGGGTCAGTTCCAACTTGACAGTCAACAACAACAACAACAACAAATTCATATAAATTATATTTTGTACTGTTGATGACAGTCCCCAAGAGTGTAATGACACTCTTGCCACTTGCTGTGTTTCTCATTTCTGTTTGTTCTTCTTTCTTGTCCTTTCCTGCCTCCTGAACTTTAGCCCTGGACATATGGCTGTCCTTTGGTCTTGTATAGTTAATTGCTCTTAGAAGTGTGGTCCCCCCACACCTGGTATTATTGATTACTTTATATGACTTTCGTTTGGCTGGCAGATGAGTCACAGGTGTGATTTTCATTTCAGGACTGATGTGTGACTAAAGGCCACAGTCTTAGAGGCTCCATCTGTCTCTATCAGAGCAGTGAGCCGGTTGTTTGCATAATTCTAAGTTTATGTCATGCTTTCCCCCTACTCTTTCCCCAGCCCATGAAAGAAAGATTCTATTGAGGGTCCAGGGCTATAGGGCTCAGAAGGAGGGGTCTCTTATTTGACTTTCTTCTTAGGACGCAGGTTGTTGGTGTGCCCACATTTCTTCTTGCAGCAATTGACAACACGGGATGCAGGCGAGCATAACACTTGCAGCAGATCATCTTGTCAGTTATACTTCTGCGCGAGCTGGTGCAAGGAAGGCCCCATAATGCCACCACGCAGACGCAGCACCAGATGCAGCGTGGACTCTTTCTGGATGTTGTAGTCTGAGAGCGTATGGCCATCCTCTAGCTGTTTGCCCATAAATATCAGATGCTGCTGGTCAGGAGGGATGCCCTCCTTGTCTTGGATTTTGGCTTTAACATTCTTGATGGTGTCACTGGGCCCGACCTCAGGAGTGACGGTCTTGCCAGTCAGGGTCTTCAGAAAGCTCTGCATCTCTGCATCTGCTTCTCATTGAAAAGAAAGTTCCCTCTTACTCTTATCAGGGGTTTCCTTGCATTGCGATCCCCCCCAGCATGCTCAGCAATTATTTCAGGGCACCCTCTAGTTCTTCAGGTCTCCAGGTTGTGGAGACTGACGACTTCCCTGTGATTCATGAGTTCTTTGGACCTGATCTTTGAGCCTAATCTTTTGTTTTCTCCATTCTTCATTGCTGTGGATGGGGAGAAGTTAACACTCACTCACTGCTTTTGCATTAGAATGATTTTTAGCCGACCTTCCATTGGGCATCTGAGACTATAAATAAGATAAGAGGAGATCACTTGTTTGTTTCTCTTGGAGCCACTGGTAGTTTTAAGGCAGGGAAGCACAACATTTGGGTTAGCAGCCCAACATCCAAAAAACTCCTCTTTCAGGACACTTTATCCTTTTGTTGTTTAAATATGATTAAAAAAAAGTAAATTGTAGAAAAATGCCTGAAAGTCGAGAATGCCAGAAGAATATCTATTTGTGTTTTATTGACCATGTAAAGGCATATGACTGTGTAAATCATAACAAACTAGGCTAATATTGAGAAGACTAGGAATCCCAGAACACTTAATTGTGTTTATCCTAAACCGATGACTAGATCAAGAAACTGTTGTTTGGACAGAAGAAAGGAACACTGCATGGTTTAAAATCAGTAAGGGTGTATGTCAAGGATGTATCCTTTCTCGTAACTATTCCATCTATATACTGTGCAATTAATTAATGAGGGAGGATTCTATGGAGAAGAATGTGGTATCAGTGTTAGAGAAGACTCACTCATCAACAACCTGTGTTATGCAGATGACACAGCTTTGCTTGCTGAAAGTGAGGAGGGTAAGAAATGCTTACTGCAGAAGATCAAGAACTACGGCCTGGCTTTCGGTATGGATTACATCTCATCATCAAAATAATGAAAGTCCTCACCACTGAGCCAATAGACAACATTAAGATAGATGGAGAGGATTGAAACTGTCAATGATTTCACCTTGCTCAGATTAAGAATCAACACCCTTAGTAGCAGCAGTCAGGAGATCAGGAGACAGTGCATTGGGCAAGTCCACTGTCAGGGATTAATAGCATAGATAAGCCTGTTTACACTAATAACTATGGAAGAAGTTGTGAAAGTAATATTAATAATTTTCAAAGGCGTCTGACTCAGTTTTGTTGTATGTTATTGAAGTGAAAATGACCCTCCAGCATGTTTTCCGATATTAACAATCACAGGGAAGGAAACTGTCTTTTGATTTCCTGGCTGCTGGTGTCAAGAGTGTTGATTGTGGAGCCAAGCAAACTAAAGCTGTTTACAATCTCACTCTCTTCACCTTCACTCTATCATGATGATGCCAATCGGCCCTGTGGTGAGAATCTTTGTCTTCTTGACATTGAGCCTCAGTGCATATTGAAGGCTGCAGTCCTTGACCCTCTGCAGCAAGTGCTTCAGGCCCTCCTCAGTTTCAGCAAGCAGGGCTGTGTCATCTGCATAATGCAGGTTATTGATGAGCCAGATTAGAGTGGAGGGAAATTCTGCTGAGGAGCAAAACCAGAAAGTGCCAGAGAAAGCTAGAATATTTCAAGAAGCACAATTCTTACTAAGAATGGTAAGAAATAGGACTTTTCAGTCTCTGTCATAATTTTGTTTTAGAAATTCAGTGCTAAGGCATTAGTGGTTTAACCATATGGTAAAACAGGCTCCCTGTAGTGATTGCTATGGAAGTGGCCTGGCTTAGCTATGGCTCCTCAGGGGATGAAGTTAAGGATTAGACTTTGGCCTTCCCAACTGGACACCTAACTAAGCTCAGGAACTGGATCTGAATCTCTCCTTATTCTGTTCCCAACCTGGGCACAGCACTTGGAGCAGTAAAATGTCTTTGAATCAATAGGATGGTCACGCAGGGCTCCAGGGGGAAATGAGCATAACTTTGTTATTGCACTTTTGACACCTTGGGACTCCCAAAGTGTCTTTGAGGGATCTAGAGGTTAATTTATCTACAGCCTCACATCACAGATTTGCCAACGGGCATTTACACAGTGGTGATGCCCTTGACACTGTCAGCCAATTCCTTAAGTACTTCAAGTTCAGAAAGGCCTGCTGATTTGATTTTATCTGCCTTTTAAGATTGATCTTTGATGATATCCCATTCCAGCTGGACTTTCTCTGCTCTCCTTCCCTCCTGCATTACTGATGGTGTGGGATCTAATTACCTCATCATCCCTTAATTTATTTATGGGATGGCTTGGGTTAAAGAAAGGACTAGAACACCTGGTTTCTTTCTTCTCTCCATTGTCTCCTTTTTTTTTTTTTGCATGATACAAATCTCACTTTTTCAGTCTCTGGCAAGTTGGAACTGTTCGTACTCGCAAATTTAAAGAAATTAAACTTCCCTCCCAGGGCTGAGGTGGCAAGCCAGCTAGTTGTGTGGGTTCAGCCTGCCCTGCCAACTCCCAACAGATCAATCTACAAACAAGAATTCATTACTCATGCAGGAAGCCAGTTTTCCCCTTACAAGACACTTAATGAAGAATATAGTCTTTTGAATTTTTAAAATTTATTATCACACACATAATAAAAAGATTCAGACAACTCAGAACTATGTAGAATAATATGTGAAAGGTTTTCTTCTCATTTTCTTGCACTACACCCCACTGTTAGTCTTTGGAATGAATGTATCCTTTGATGTAGATTTTTAAACAATGCACTTTCATACTAGTAAGCCAACATATCTGTTCATCTAAATTTTCAAATGACTTAAAACAATATACCATCATAGGTGCAATTGCGCTGATTCTCTTTATTATGTCTTGCATTTTCTTCTGCCTCAAAGCACAGGTTTTGTGCGTAATAGGAATGAAATATCATTGAAATGAAATAGTAATGAATAATAATGAAATTATTGTTTTTCCCCTTTTAATGGTCATTATCACAGATTACAATTTTTCTGTAGTACAAGCTATTGTGGCAAGTCCTTGTTCTCCAAGAATGATCTGTCCAATCATGCATTAACTTCTTCATATTTATTGTGGGTTCACAAGGTGTCACTCACTTTGCTTGGGGTTAGGGGTAAACAACAGTTACTACAAAGAGTTTAAAATTTTGTTTGATGGAAAAGAGGCATTCCGTTTTCCTTAGAGGGCGAGCCAGGCTGAAGATTGTTCTCCACCCTGACCCAGGACGCCTGGAATGTGTCTGTAGCGTGGGTGCGCGTTCACCCCCCACTTAGAGGTCGTCTGGCGGCTACACGGGGCCGCGAGGCGCGCTGACGGCGGGGCGGGAGAGGCGGGGACGAGCTGCGCGCGACCCCCTCCGCGCAGGGAGCGGCCTCGACCAGGGCGGCCTCTCTGGCCCCGGCTCCCTGGGCTCTATGACACCGCGTTGCTTGGCGGGCCGGGGCCGGCCGGCCGAGGGGAGGGCGGGGGAGTGAGTCGTCTAAGCTCCGGATCTCGCGGGTGGTTCTCGCGAGAACCGCGAAATCTCGCGCTTGCGCATTGCAGCGGCGCCAGGAGGCGGCATCTCTGCCGGCGTGTCAGTGAGCCCGAGGAGAGGCCGGGTGCACAGATCGGAGCTGCTTCGTCGCCGCCGGAACTCGCCACCATGAGTAGCACCTTAGCCAAGATCGCGGAGATCGAAGCCGAGGTAATAGGCTCAACTGGCGCTTCACTCCTTCTCTAGGAATCGTGGTTATTTCATTTCATTTTATTTTTTTTGTGTGTGCCTGTTTTTCCTTCTGGCGCGTCAGAGTTGGCCTCTGTCCTTAGGCTTCCTTCTCGCACCTCGACTCCGGTCCGCCTGGGCCCGCGTCTCTCCCACTCCCCTCCACAGGACTCCCCTTCCCCGCTCCCCCGAATCTTGAAGGCCCTTGTATGTTCATCTCCTGCCCCGATGTTGTATTTCTGAGTCTTTTCCTTCCAAGTAGCACCGAATTCCGCTCCCTACTTCAGCCCTGACCAGCTCAGATCCTCCAGCATCTTTTCCTCATCCCCTGCCCCCTAACTCAGAGCCCTTTCTTTCCTCTGACTACTGCTCCGGGGAATAGGATCTGGAAATAAATATACATGTAGGCACCAGCACTTGATTGCTCCTGGATTATGGTGATTCTGTTGCCTGACGGCCTCAGGACCCTTTAGACTGGGAAGAGGTGACAATTAAATGGAGCATCTGGGATACCAGGGTTAGAAAGGAACAGCTGGTGGGTTTAGTTTTGTTTCGTATAGGGTGATCTTGAGATTGTTAATAGCTTTAGTTTGCTTGGCTCCTCAATCAGCACTCTTGGCACCAACAGCCAGGAAGTTGCATTGGGAAAGTCTGCTGTCAGAGACCTCTCCAGAGTACTGAAGAGCAATGTTGTCGATCTGGGGACTAAGGTGCGCCTGATCCAGTCCATGGTCTTTGCAGTTTCTTGCTATGCATCAGAAAGCTGGACAGTGACTAGGGATGATAGAAGGAGAATTGATGCCTTTGAGCTGTGGTGCTATACGCAATGAGGGTTGCAGAGTGGATTATATTTGGGGGTAGGGAGTGGGGATTGGGGAGGTGCAGGGGGATTGTGTACCAATGAGGGAATTTTTCTTTTTTGTTTCAAGGAGAGGAGCAAATGGGGGGGGGGGGTGTTTGTGCGGGGAGAAGGGTGCAACAATGAATGAATGGAATTCCAAAATCTCTGTAGATGTTCATTGAAATGAAAAATAAACAAACTAAATTTAAAAAAAAAAGAAGAGTATTGACTATACCATGTATGGCTAGAACAAATAGGTTCGTCCTGAAGTGGGTGACACCAGGCTTTTCCTTGGAGGCAAGGATTCTGAAGCTTCGTCTGACATACTTTTGACATGTTGCAAGGAGAACAATCCTTGGAGAGGGACATCATGCTTGGGAGGGTGGAGGGGCGGCACATTAGAGGAAGACTCTTGATGAAATGAATTGATTCAGTGACTGGAGTAATGAGGGTTGGAGTTGTGTTGGAGACAGTGAGATTGGCAGAGGATAGAGCAGGGTTTAGGGCTGTTGTATGGTTGCTATGAGTCATAGGCGCCTTGACAGCACATAACAACAACAACAACAGCGACAGAATGATCTTGATCTTGTCTCTGTTTCTTGGATCCTAGTTGTCTGAGGGGGATGGAGTGAGGGGAGAGATTGAATTTTCATCCTAAATGGGTAAAGTAGACATACTAACATTAGTGAGAACATTTCTTAAAGGGAAACAGCCATCCAGCTAGGAGAGCATGCATTTATTCTAGAACTTTCTTTGCCCTTTGACAGCTGCTTCTGACTTAAATCTGTGATTCTTCCTTTGTAGATGGCTCGAACTCAAAAGAACAAGGCCACAGCGCACCACCTAGGACTGCTAAAGGCTCGTCTTGCTAAACTTCGCAGAGAACTCATTACTCCCAAAGGTGGTGGTGGTGGTGGGCCAGGAGAAGGTTTGTATTTTCTTTAAATTGCCCCCTTTATTCACATATATTGCACACGTTCCCACACACACCACCCCCCAGGTGGTGGAAATCGAGGGGGTAATTTCTCTTAAAATAATGCAGACCCACAGTTTACACAAGTTGTGACTGACATTGAGAAGAATGGGAATCCCAGAGCACTTAATTGTGCTCACGCAAAAACTGTACCTGCATCAGGAGACTGTTGTGCGAACAGAGCAGGGAAACACTGCATGATTTAAAATGAAGAAGGGAGCGCATCAGGTTTGTATTCTCTCTCCATACCTATTCACTCGGTATGCTGAGCAAATTATTTGAGAAGCTGGACTCTATGAAGAGGAATGTAGCATCAGGACTGGAGGGAGATTCATCCATAATCTGTGTTATACAGGTGACACTACCTTGCTTGCTGAAAGTGAGGAGGACTTGAAGCACTTGTTGCAGAGGATCAGGAAATGCAGTCTTTGGTATGGATTGGATCTCAATTTCAAGAAAACAAAGATGATTACCATTGGCAGCATCATGGTGGATGAAGAAGAGATTGAAATTGTCAACAATTTCATCTTAACTTGGACCCACGATTAACATCCTTTGTACCAGCAGTTGAGAAACCAGATGTATTCAATTGGAAAAGTCTGTAGATAAGGGACCTTCCCAAATTATTGAGTAGTAGTAATGTCAGTTTGAGGACTAAGGTGCGTCTAATTCAGGCCATGGTTTTTCCAATCACTTCCTATGCATCTGAGAGCTGCACAGTGAATGGGGATGATAGAAGAATGGATGCCTTTGAGCTGTGGTGTTGGAGAAGAGCACTGAACAGTTCATGGATGGCCAAAAGAACAAACAAATATGTCTTGGAGAGGGTGCAGCAGGAGTGCTCTTTGAAGACAAAGATAATGAGGGTTTGTCTCACATAGTTAAAGCATGAAGAGAGGCTATTCCATGGAGAAGGACATGATCCTTGCGAGGGGTGAGGGTCGGCGAAGGAGAGGAAGACCTTCAACCGGGTGGATTGACCTGGTGACTGCTACAGTGTCTTTAGTGTGTCAGGAAGTATGAAGATGGTACAGGATAAGACAGGGTTCAGATCTGCTGTTGAGGTATATTTGTATCCTCTAATTCTTTTGAAAGGTGGAAGGACAGCGTAGAAGAGGAAGACCCAGGATGAGATGGATTGACAAAGTAACTTGGGACAAAGTAAATTGGCTTAGGATAGGGCAGGGTTCAAAGCTGTTATGCATAGGGTCTCTGTGAGTCTTGGGCAACTCCACGGCACATAACAGCAACAAGAGGCAGCTCAACTTTTGGAATTAAAAATTTTTTTCCCTTCTAGTTTCAAAGGCAAATGAATAAAGAAAAAACGGTGTCTGAATAAAGCTCATTTTTATTTGTTTATACCCTGTGCTGATTTTAGATAGATTTATATTTGTATACAGAAGTGTGTAAATAGATGTCATGCAACAGGTAAAATTAGGTGAGGAAATGAATGTAGGGAGAATAAGCAAAGGTGCCAAAAGGAATAAAAATGTGTGCCTTTGCCAGAGAAGGGTCACGAATTTGGCTCTGAACTTGTTTGCGGCCACTGTCAAAAAAGAGAAAACCAGTTTTTTGTAGAATTTTCAGGGCTCATAAGAGGATAAAGAAGCTCATTTTTAAGATTGATTATTATGTAATATTTCAACTTTAAATATTATGAATTGTTCTGTGCTGTCAAGGTACCTGAAACGCATGGTGATTCTATGCACAGTAGCTCTGAACCCTGCCCTATCCTGAGGCAGTTTTCATTGTATTAACACACCTGCCCTGATTACTCCAGTTATTGTGTCAGTCCATCTTATGGGGGTCTTCCTCTCCTGCACTGTTCCTCGACCCTTTGAAGTATGATATCCTCCAAAGCCTTTCTGGCTACGTGCTCAAAGTATGTGAGATGGAGTCCCTTGGCTCCAACAAGAAAGGTATATAACTATTTAAATAGAAAAGGAATAAAATTTCTATATCAAACACTGTATTGGATGGTGCAAATGGCCTCACATAGAAGAGGTAGACGCGCATGCCTGCGCGTCCCCAAATCAGATTCGACTGGCACAGAAGGAGATTGCCCCTCCTTCTCCAGTGGAGCATCTGGTAGATTTGAACCACACAGTTTTGGGATTGCAGCGCAGCTTCTTGCCACTGTGCCACCAGACCTCCCTTCTCACATAGAGTTTTGTGTGTTCTACTTCAGAGAAATACCATAAAAAGTTTGAGAAGTAGGTATAGGCAACTAAATGTAAAAGGTATTTCAGTGCTTCCAGAGATTAACTTTCTTCCTTTTTTGATATTTTATTGCTGATTTAGGTTTTGATGTGGCCAAGACAGGTGATGCTCGGATTGGATTTGTGGGTTTTCCATCTGTGGGGAAGTCAACACTGCTTAGTAACCTGGCAGGAGTGTATTCTGAGGTGGCAGCCTATGAGTTCACTACTCTGACTACTGTACCCGGCGTCATCAGATACAAAGGTGCCAAGATCCAGGTGAGTAAGGCCCGTAGGTGGCCAGGTTTGGGATGAAATAGATTTTTCAGTTCATCTAAGAAACACTTATTAAAAGGAAGTTACTTTTCTGTCAGGCCTAGTTTCCCATCTGCCAGGCCCTTGCTGTGTAAGTGAGAAAGCAGTGCTTTGATAGTGTAGTGCCTCTGGAAACACGGAGAAAAAAAGACCAGTTTTCTCCAGGGGATGGATGAGGAAGATCTGGTGAGACAGAGAAGGCTCCTTGTAGAAAGTGCTTGCTGTTGGAGTCTGAATAGAATTTCTCCAGCTGTGGAAGAGGAAAGGGTGTAAGTCAGCAGAACTGATGACATCCCTGTTGTGATGTGAGCTTAGATGTGGGATTAAAAGTAGTGAGAGCTGAAGTTGCAAAGGGAAGTTACTGCTGAATTAGGATGAGCTTTCTGTGCCTTTTGGGGAAATTGGTTTTTATCTTCTCAGAAACTTTAAAGTAGGTAAATAACATGATCTGATCCTTTTCTAGAAGGTAGGTTGTTTTTTTTTTAATTTTTTATTATTTTGTGTGCATGTACCGTCAAATCAGATCTGACTGGTACAGGAGGATATTGCGCCTCCTTCTCCGGCAGAGCATCTGGTGGATTCGAACCGTGTTCCTCTGGGATTGCAGTGCAGCTTCTTGCCACTAGGCCACCAGAGCTCCCTGAGAAGGCAGTTTTTAAGATTAATGAAGTTAGTCTCTTAGAAGATAAGCTTAGAGCTCCCAAATGAGGGTTTATATTGAAGTAGAAAGAAGGTATACGTAAAATACAGTGGGGTGCATGAAAAAAATATAATGGGACATACTTTCTCATTGAGCACAGCTCAGAAATCAGGGGGTCTGATTTACATGAACAATATATGTGTTATCCCATGCAAGAGCTATCATGTAAATGCTGGAGAAGAGTATTGAGTATACCATGGACAGCTAGGAGAACAAATAGGTTTGTCCTGGAGAGGATGAAACCAGGCTGCTCCTTTGAGGCAAGGATTCTGAGGCACTGTCTGACATACTTTGGGCTCGTTGCAAGGCGGGATCAGTCCTTGGAGAGGGACCGTGCAAGAGAGAAAGACCCTGGATGAGATGGATTGACTCAGTGACTGGGGTAATGGGTGTAGATGTGTCAGAGACAATGAGGTTGGCTCAGGATAGAGCATGGTTCAGTGTTGTTGCGCCTCGGGTCGCTGTGAATTGCAGACAACTCCAGGGCGCATAACAGCAATAACAATTCAGTATGTAGAGTGTATATATTTACACTGACAACCTTTGTTAGTCCTGATAATTTCTTGTGGTGCTTTTGTTTAAATTGTTAAATCCAAGCAAGTTACCTATTTTATGCCATTGTGGAAACAGTCATTTATTCTTGACATACTACACAACCTTTTACATCTTGGAATCAGATGTAATATTACCACACTTTGCTACTTTTTCTTTGTCGATTTTTTTGTTGCACTTTTTTTTTAACTTTGTTGTTGTTGTTGTTATGTGCCGTCGAGTCGCTTGCTACTCATAGCGACCCTATGTACAACAGCCCTAAACCCTGCTCTATCCTGTGCCAATC